TCCTCGTCCAGCTTTTCCAGCTGGGCCAGCAGGAGTCGCTCTTGTTCCTCCAGGAACTGCTGCAGTTGCTGAAATTCAGGCACAATCTTCTGCCTCTCAGTTTCTGTCTGTTTCTATAAGAAATAAGGAAAGGGCTGGTCAGGAACATGGATGGAGCCTGATGACCTTTCATACAGTCTTACAAGAGAGAGTTTCTTTACAATCTCTAACACATCTGTGTAGAGATCAGGACATGAGCCATCAGGCCTAGTGCTCAGAGCTGCAGTTGGAAATTGGGAACTACGGCCAAAGTCAGAGCTGGAGTCAGTCAGGATCTCACCAAGGGTTGGGGCTACAGTCGAGCTCAGGAGTCATGCCAAAGGTTGATCCAGAATCAGTGTCTGGAATCGCACGGGGGGTCAGGACTGGAGTGTGAGTCAGGCAGCCAAGCGAAGGGTCAAGCTGGAATCTGATAGCAGTACTGCAGGTCAAACCTGAGTCAGGGACAACGCCAGGGCCAAGCCAGAGTCAGGGTCCACTCCAGCAGCAGATCGGGAGTTCACTCAGTTGTTTGGACAACTTCCCGTGACTCCTGCTGGCGTAATTCATGCATCCGAATGTCTGCTCCAATCAGGAGCTTCGTAGGCAGATCCTCTGGTGCGCCGGAGTTCCACTAGCCCCTCCCCTGCTGGCTCTGGAGAGTGGTTGGGTTGTAATGACAGTCTCTGTGGATTGAAGTTCAAAACCGAACATTCTTCACATCCTGACACTTGACTATACATTGTGATCACAAGGGAGAGGATTTTCTTACAGCTTCCCATTTGGCCCCAGTCTCTCTGGAAGGGGTGTCTCCATGTCTACTGGGATATAATCAGTGCAGTTTGGGAGAAATGTTGTGAAAGCCACCAGGGGTAGTAATTCACTCATTAATTAAAATGCATCGTAGATCCTGCAGAAGATGCTGTTGTCCTTCTCCAGGGAGAGAACATTTGTGATATGCACACCTGTACACACACACACACACACACACACACAC